TCCACTTCCTTCCTGTGGTAACACTCGCTCAAATAACGTCTCGGATTCAATAACCCTGACCCTGTGAATATATTCTTTACTTGGTTCCCTCTCTTTTCTGCCTTATTTTTATGAGAGTTTTTTTGTTTGTGTGTGTATGTTTGTATTACTTAGAGGTGTCGTGGAATACGATGCAGAAGGCTTCACAAAACTCACTCTGCTGCTGATGTGGAAAGATTTTTGTTTTCTTGTACACAGTGAGTATACTTTCGCTATTAGCATGTCAGCGTGCATTTGGAAATGGCCTAACCCATGTGTAATAATGAGCATGAGAACCTTTGGTGTCCCGGCTTAGGCTTCTTTCACTTCAGTGTATCTACTGCATGGTTTTAAAGAGAAAGCATCTCTAGACCAGTGGTTCTCAGCCAGGTGTAAGTTTCCCCTCAGGATGTCTGGCCATGTCTGGAGACATTTTGATGGTCATGGTTTGGGGGCGGGGGAGCAGGGGAGGTTGTTGTTGTTGCTATTGGCATTCAGAGGCTAGAGGTCCGGCATGTTGCTAGATGTCCTGCAATGCACAGGACAGCCCCCCAACAACACCAAAATCATTGCGTGCAAAATGTCAGTAGTGCTGAAATTAAGAAACCTACCCAAGATAGATTTCTGTTTTAAATCATCTTTTGAGTAGCAGCTCTCAAAACTTTCAGGATTACTCAAAACATACTTGCTTTGATCATTTGGTGATCACCCTTATTAAGTGAAAAGTGTACAACTTTGGTAATATATAATGTATATCTTAAGGTGAGACAATGTTTTCATGTATTCCCAACATTCCTTTTCCATTTTATTCCACAGAGTACATGTATTTAAATGTTTGTTGTGTTACATTCATCAGTCAGTTAGTAAACTCGGGTCTAGCTTTCTCTTGATGGATAATTTAGAATCTCTTTTGTTAATTTCTTTGTTACTTAAGAGCCTGTGACCCGTGGTGCCAGGTTCAAGTTGCAAGTTAACCAAGACCTTTATTCTTTAGTAATTTGGTATGCAAAATGCCCAGACTTCAAGATAAAGGCAAAAAGTTCCAGCTCTCCCAAGTTGAGTTACAGAAAAGCAGTGGGTTTGGGTTGACTGACTCAGTAGCTAGAACCACCCTAAACCTCAATAAACTTTCAGGAAGCGAAGCTTTGGCCTATTTAGCCAAGCCATCAGATAGTGTAAAGATACTGACTTGAGATTTTTCTTCCCCAGCAGACTGAGCTTCTTGGCTGTGATTTGCTTAGGCTAAAATAGGTCTTAGTTTATCTCACCTGATTTCACACCAACAGATAGAGAAGAAAACGTCGATAGTGGCAGCGGGAAGAAAGCCTCTGATTAAAACCTTACCATAACCCACACAGAAATAAGAGTTGGCTCTCCTCGTAAAGAGTTGATTCGCCCTGCCTTTTGGTGTTTCCCAAGGGTAACCACCTTGTCATGCAGGGCTTTGTACTGACCTCCGTCCTCTAGAGCTGGTGTACCTTGGGACGGTCTTTCCAGATGCATCTGAAAAATGGCAGCATAGCTTTTGTATTAATAATGCGCACAGATAAACAGAGAGCTGGAGAGGTAACGATTTTAATCTTGGGTGTGCCTCCAACTAATTACATGACCTTGTTCAAATCGCTAGGACAAGCTTCCCTCTACTTTAGCTTCCTTACGTTGGGGATGTGCTTGTTACACCCTGTGGAGACGCCGCACATGAAGCTTAACCTACAGTACAGGACCAGGTGAAAGGAAGCCTCATGGTCAAGGCCTCATGGCAGTCTCCTCTTTGCTCACCATCTTCTGTGGCCCTACTGGTCCTTCCAGCCACCACTTTTGATTCTGACTGTGTCTGTGCAGCTGCTTTGGTTTTCTGTTCTGAGTCAAAATTCCTTTATGAGCTCTCACTTTCTATCTGCCACATCCACTTCACCCCACCATCTGATCCCAGAGATTCTGTTTCTAGTTTGTTAACCTGCCCCCAGCCCCTGATTGCATGTTGGTTTGTCACTCATGACCCTGGACAGTTGTCTGGGTGACTAGTCTGCTGTGATTCCCCTAGTCCAGCTCAGCAAGAGGTGTCTGCACCCTGTCTCAAATGCTGGTGCAACCATCAGAGGCCTCCCAGAGTGGCTGTGGGAGAAGGACACAGAGGGAAGGCCACACAAAGGGACGCTTGTGAACACTCAATTAGATAAAAGCCTCAGCCAGTTTCTTTATGCCAAAGTGGCATGAAATCTCAACTCTTTACTGAAACTTAATTTGGTTCCTAGCTATGGTTCTACTTTCAAAAAACTTGAGTCATATTATTTCCAGATATAAGAGGAAAAAGTTATCCTCGGCCTTGCTCATTCTGACCTGTGTTTTTACAGGTCATGCAGCTCAGTGGTGATTAGCAAGATGGGATGAAAGAGCATTCACCTCTCGGCTCCTGCCAGCTCTCTTATCAGGGCTCCCAGTGTTATAACAATTCTGGTTCCTTTGGAAGGTCTGTTCCCCAAAGAGGACTCTCTCCATGGTACCACGTGACCAGTGTTTCTTACAGCTCCTTGTCCACTTTCCTCTCTTAGCTTTTCCAAGTCACACATGCAAAATCCAGTCCCAAAGTCATGTTTTCACTTGGTATTGATCACCGTCTTCAGAAACATAGCACTCCAAGGCACTCATTAGAACAGCGCCAGGGACCTTGGGATTCGTTTAATCTACTTTTACCAGAGTGTTTCCTCAGGCTATGATTCCTTTCCTCCCAGGCTGTTCACTTCTTGTCTCTTAGCGTCACTGCCCACGTTGGGCTCTTGTGGCTGGTAACACCTCATATGTGAATCAGGGGAACTGGGTACTGTTTCCTGCTCCATCATTGTTAACTCACAGCCTGTCTTTACATAAATGATTTCTACCTGTTTGCTTCTTTCGTAAATCTAAATTGCAGAACTTGCTACATCAGAGCGAAGCTTGGTTCGATGATGTATTTTATTCAGTCATGCAGTTAAGCCTCTGACACCTACCTTCCTTTGGAAGCATCTGCTTGCTTGGTTACAACGCCCAAGGGACTAGGTGTTCCCTTTTTTTCCCCATAAAGACTGGGAGGTGAATATGGAGTGGCGGAGACTTAATGATACAACATTACAGTGAATTACTGAGACCTCAAGAACGTGGAGAAGGAAGAAGGAGGTGCCTAGAGATGGAGCCAGTCTTCTGTGGCTGGCGCACTACTCCATGAGATTGGAGACCCGGCAGGACCCCAAGTAACATCCCCGCTCCCCACCCTCTCTGTTCTGCCCCTGCCCGGAAAGAGACCTCTCAGAAGGGGGCAGGTGCTGGCAATAATTCAGAGCATTCAGGATGCTGGAGGAAAGAGGCACCCCTCCTGTCTGGAGACAGATGGCTCTGACCTCAGACTGTCAGAGCGTGCGGATGCCAGAATGCCTTAGGGGAAAATGTTGTACATATTCTGGGATCTCTCAGGAGACACTGCAACTTCCTGGCATCCTGGTGGTTCCAGCAGTGGGGACTGTGGCCATGGCTGTGGCCATGGAAGCTTTTTCATCTTGATTTCTTCTTTCTTTCTCTCCTTCCCCCCATTATCAGTGTATTGTAAGACTTGGAGCCACAGCAGGATCGGGGACTTGCTGCCATCCAGAAACTTTTCAGGCAGGTTTCCTGACCATCATCTAAGAATTATTTGTAGTAGATATGTAGTAATTCTGTGTTTGCCAGGCTGTTTTTACCTCTGGAAGTAGATATTTTCTATAAGCCAGCAGCTTTTCAGAATGTTAGGTGACAAGACAACCAAATAGCAAAGCACAGAAACCAGAACACAAGCAACCGCTGGGCAAAGCATGGGCTCTTTTCATGGGTCCCTGTCAGATGCACTATACAGGAGGCAGCTGCCTAAGGTAGCAGGTTGCTGCTTAGAAGCAGGAGGTGTCGAGATCTGTGACTTCCAAGGCTAGTGAGAGAGTCTATGACTGTATGAGAAGATGCCTTCCCATTACCTGTAAATTCTTGGTAAATGCCCCTTCGAGTCATCCAATCTGGATCACAGGCCATGTTTCCCTGGTAAAATACCTACTAGACTAAATCTGACCATTTTGGCTGTTCCATTTTGTTTTTTTCTCTGCTCTGCCCCTAACCTGATTAACAGAGTTCTGAGTTTACTGAGAACCTACTATGTGCTCAGTGCTATGTCCCAGGGGATATAAGTAAATAACTCGGACTTGACCTTGAGACACTGAGACTGGCACAAGGGTTGGAAGCCTGTAGTCTATGCGCTAAATCCCACTCTCAGCCTGCTTTTTTAATATGGCCCTCGAGCTAAGGTGGTTTTTACGTTTTTAAAAGGTTATAAAGAATAGGCAACAGCTAAGTAACAGAGTAGAAAAAAGATGAAAGAAGGGTACAAACCTTCTCATTTACTGAGACTTCTAAGAAGTCTCATGCATTGCTTCCAGTTACATCCCCTTGTTCCAGAACTTAGTTCACACGGCCTCAGCGTGTGAGCGAGGGCAGACTGGAAAGTGTAGTTCTTTAGCTGGGGCAGTAAACACCCAACTAAAAATCGAACTTCTTTGAGTGAGAAAGAGAGAATGACTATTTAATAGGCAACTACTAATCTCTTTCAAACCAAGGCAAGGAGTTTGGATCTTATCCAGGTTAAGGTCCCATCAGGAAACAAATGACACATCACACAGGTAACTAGGGAGAACTCAGTGGAAGGACTGTGTTCCAAGGTGTGGACAGGTTTAAAGAAAACCGAAAGGGATGGTTAGCAGCAAGGAGCATTACCTTTGCTAGGTCTGCACGGGCAAGAGGAGAGCACGCTTACCAGAAGCTGGAAAGAGCTACAGCTGTAGCTGTAGGAGAGTGTTTCCTGGCAGGCACTAGAGGAATGTAGCTACTGCTAGCCTGCCCCTGTGCAGGAAGGGCATGTCTCCTTTCAGTTCTGTTGGTTTTGTTGTTAGGTGCATATACATTTATGATTGTTACATCTTCCTGATGTTTTGACCTTTTCATCATTATGGAATGTTCCTCTTCGTCTCCAGTGATATTACTTCTCTTAAAGTCCATTTCATCTGGTGTTAATATACCCATCCCAGTTCTCTTATGTTTATTGTTTTTTGGTATATCATTTTCCATTCCGCTGCTTTCATACTTTGTTTTGGGTTTTTTTTGTTGTTGTTGTTGTTGTTGGGTTTTTTTGTTTGTTTTGGGTCTTTAAAAAGTGTGTCTCTTATAG